TTAACAAGTAAAAAGCTTTCTGTCAGAACTAGTGGATCATGCCACTATTGAAGGTAAAAGAAAGGTATGATTATGTTCCAGTAAAATGTTAAATTGAGAAACAGGTCAGCTGGCTGCATTTAGTCTACAGCATAGGGGTTTGCCCAAACCCCTACTTAGTCTAGAAGATCAGGAGAGAAATGACCTTCAAAGCTAATCAAAATAATTTAGCTGAACTATATCCCTTTAAATAAATGTATTGTACTTAGTAAAGGATTGTAAGTTAATTTATTTATTTCGATTAAATAGTGATAGGAAAAGGTTGATATCCTATCCAAATGTGGCACTTTATGGATGACATGTGACAAGGTGGCTTTACTAGGTTAGCCTGAACATTGCAGTAGTGTGTCCTAATGCGCGTGCTTGTTGTAATGAGAGCTTTCTAGTCCTCTTAGAATAGTTTTCCATGTCCAGTGGGCGGACTGCGGGCGAGCTCAGACCGTTGGCCCCACCTGGAGCTGTGGCAGTTGGGCAGGGCTGACGGTGTGGGCGCGGTGGAACTGGGAAGGCGAATCCACCACCTGCATCCCTGAACTCCCGGTCTTGCTGAGTGATTGCCTTCGGGGCCCTCGGAGCTGGCAGGCAAGACAGACTGGCCCTGCCCACCGCTGCAGGGCGGTGGGGTCCCCTGTACCTCCACAGCTGCCGGAGAGCAGAATGCAGCGCAGGAAGGTGCCCGCCACCCTCAGGCCAGAGGAGCCTGCGGAGAAACGCCCCCCCGCTTTCATGGACCACATGCTGGACAAATTTGCCCGCCCGAGAATTCCAGTGAACAACAAATGGAGACTCCTTCCCAGCCCCCAGGCTGCGTTGGCAAGTAATGATTGCTCATCGGCACCTCACCTCGAGGTGGTGGAAAACATTGCGAAGCTCCTGGCGGAGAATGAAGTCCCACAACTTTTTATAAAGATGATAGAAAACATGAATTCAAACCATGATAAAAAGGCACCATGGTGAGAAAAGGACTTTCTCATCAAAAAGAAATGGCGATGCAGTCCATTAATACTGCTTCTAAGACAGGAAATCTTAAACATAGTCTACATATTTCACTTCAGGAATTCAGCCATGAACTGAAAGTGGGGTCTGCAGATGAGAGACTTGTATCATACCTGGAGTCCCTCCCTGTGTCTTTGACCAGCAATCCTGTGAAGGTCTCTTAGGAGAAATCTGCTGAGGACCTTGTGAGAAAATGGTGAAAAAGTCCACCACCTCCTTCTCTACCCCATAGACGTTAATACCGAGCTCTAAAGGGAACAGAGCATTTTGTTATCCTGTAACTACAGGAGCGAGCTGCCTCCATCCCTTTGATACCAGTTATTCCAAGTTGAAAGAAAAAGGAATCAAAACCTTGAGTGGAGATAGGATGAGGTCTTTAAAAGACAAAAGTTATTGCAAATTTTCAGACTTGAAAAGATTTCAGTTTCAAAACAAGTAACCCACAGAAGCTTCTGGAGTCCTTTCTTATTCTTTGGTTCTGGAGACCAAACAGTGAGCTATGCCTGTGCATGTCTTGAGTCATTTCTTGCTCTGACCTCGCAAGAAGCCATGTGAGGGAATTTCAAACACCAGCTAGAGAAGGCCCTGGCTGTGCCTGGATTTTTCGCTCATTAGTACAGGGAAATCTTGGTGGTAGCCTGTGAAACTCAAGGATAGTTAGCTCGTTTGGTGGTTTGGGGGTTCTAGTTTTGGTTTTTTGATATTGGTTTTTTGATTTGGGTTTTTTGTTTTGTTTTTCTTTTTTGACTTTTTTTTGTTTTGGTATTTTTAACTAACATCTGTAGTAGTTAAGATGTGCAGTGAGAGTAGTCAGAGTAGTGAAGTGTGGCAAGAGGACCAGCTTAAGCTGGTCCATCTTCACGGACTATTAATGGGTCCTGAGCGACATTGGTCAGAGTGGCTTTGCCCAGGTGAAATTAGCCTGCTATCTCCTCACCAGGACAGAGGTGACTGTAAAAAGTCCTGCCAAATATATAGCAGCACTTCCCCAATCATATTCAAATAGGATACAATGGGGACTAGAACACTCAAAAATGTGATCCAGCTGTTTCAAATTATTGACACATTGAAAATATCTACCCAGAGAAGGTTCAGGTAGATCACATGTACCATGTGCTACTACCAGAAGAAAGACATGGCTCATGGAGACTTGAAGCTGGAGAACATCCCAGTGAGAGCCAGAGGAAACATCAAACTCATTGACTTCAGCCTGAGTAGCAGGTTCATGGTTGGGCAGAAGCTGGACAGGTTCTGGGGCATTGTCTCATACTCTGCCCCATAAATCTTCCAGAGGGAAAAATATGAGCACCCTTGCAGTGAACATCTGGTGCCTGGGTGTCATTCTGTGTTTTATGGTCATAGGGTGCCACTCATTTAAGAGGGACGACTGCTTGGCAGCTGACAGAGCTGATCCTGCATGCAAGGTACTACATTCCCTTAGGTTTCTGCTGAAGCATGAAACCTCAACTATTAAATAGTGACGGTGGACTCCACACAGAGGCCTGTGGTAGACCAAATCATGGGGCGCCCATGGCTGAGTCAGGGTAAGGTATATTCACTGATCGTTCTAGTGCATACTCCCCAAACCACCCAGACTTCATAATAATGACAATCATGTTTAACATGGGTTGTGACCCAAACAATACCTGGGCATCTCTGACAAATAGAAAATTTCATGAGGCAATGGCTGTGTACCTGATACTCCAGCACCTGATAATCCAGGCGGCAGGCTGCATGATCTAGTTAAAGCCTGGGCCTCCAGAGGCTGGGCCTTGCCCATGCCCCTTCTAATCCCTCTCTTCGCCCAAAGAGGAGTGCCAGTGAGCTTGCCCTTTGGCCCTTCCCCTTCTAGCCCTGGGAGCATCAGTTGCCTGAGGAGGCCAAGGAGTCAGGGCTAAAGGGAGGTAAAAGAGCCAGCCTGCATGCAAGGACCCCCACTCCCAGCATAGCTCCCCAGCATGTCCCTGTGTGCCCCACACCAGCTCCTGGACAATCATCGGTGGGTGGAACACAGCAGCAAGTCCTCCCAGGGTATGTGGCCAGAAGAAAACTCCTTTATATAGGGAAAAATTTCTCTCTATAGGGCAACCCCACAACCCATACATGGCAACAGCCAGGGTTGGCCCACAGCCTATGCATGGCAACAGCAAGGGCTGAAAGGGGGGACTAGGAGGATTGCCACCTATATTCAACAACTATGTTGCTGCATGCCACGTTCCTGCTGCCTGGCCTGAAAGTCAGGTCTGCATTCAAAAACCAAGTGGCTCCCATGAAAGGAGGACAGAAATGTGCTGGATTCAGAAAGTGACTCCAGTGAAAATGGAGAGCTGAGACAGAGACAAAACCAATGGACAGCCAGAGGCCCCTGAGCTGTGTGGATCCTGATGTCATGGTGTGGGCACCGCTCAGGTATGGACTCACACAGCTACTGGAGAAACAGTGCAAGCTGGTTGGGGCAGTGTAGAGCCACCTGGGACCAGGGCTCCTCTCTACCCATACCTGGAAGAGACATCAGAGACTGTTTTCCCTGGGACACTTACCCCACCCTGCTCTTCTCAGTCTTTTCTCCCATGTTTCTGGGATGACAGAGATGGTTCTTAATAAATTTGTTTCTAAGGACAGTTAAAAACAAAAACAGTTTTCAGCCTGAATATTTTTCTAAAAATAAAGCTGATTGTCATTTATAATCTAAGACTAAGGTAGCTGTAAGGCAGTGAATTGATCTGGAATAATAAGATCAATTAAAAATAATAAAAGGTGATGATGTAGAATGACGGTCTGTAGTTTTTTGTCTTGGTTTGATTTATTTAGCGCTGGGGAGTAAGCCCAGGGCCCTGGGCATGCGAAGCACCTATTGTATCACTGAGCTACACCACTTCCTCCTGACCCATCTCTAAGTTCTGTATTTGATTTGGGAGGAAATATTTTTATGGTCTTAAAAGAAGTAAAAGCACTGGGTGTGTTACTCAGTGGTAGAGTCCTTGCCTAGCATGCATGAGCCCCTCAGTTTTATACCCAATATGTCAAAAACAAAAACTGTGCAAACCAGGCAGAGTGGCATGAACTTGTAGGTGCAGCTACTTTTTCTAAAAGGAAAAAAAGGGGGGGGGATTTTTTTTAAGTGGTATTCAACATTGCTTACAACCTATGGACAGGTTGAATCTGTTCCTGTTTTTTCTGCTGTCAAAAAGCCTTTTTCCGCCTTTTTTCCCACAACTATTATAAAGTTATTGGTGGTCATTTGTACACTTGCGTATTTGGACATCTAAAATGAGCAAACTGGCTTTGTCGAAAGTTAGTGAAATACTGCGCCAAGTTGTTTCCTACTACTCTTATGTGTTTTTGAATAGGCCTTTTGTTCACTGTTTCCTTAACACATAATAGAGGATTTACATCCTAGTGTTCATTCTCTTCTTGTCTGTTTTCAAAGTGAAAAACATTTGCTTCACTCTGCTAATTTCTTCTGTTGAGCATCCAGAGGATTTTGAGGGTTTATGCCAAAAATTCTTTGGGGGAGTTAGAGTGTAGCCATTGTCAAGAAGAGTTTCCGTTCTTAATGACCATTTCATCTAACAAGTCATTGTGACCATTGTCATTTGTATTACGGAAGACACCCCTTTCTTCTTTCCCAAATGCTCAACTTGAATCCTGTGATGGGAGTAATGAAGAGATGTCTTCTCCTTTTTGCAATATTTTACCTCATCTGCTATTTTTGTCCCTGTATAAAGTATTACTGAAGTTTTTTTCTTCTGATATTCTACTAGGCAGTGTACATTGCAGAGTTTCTGAACAATCAACTGAATTCTGAACACAAGTGGGGTCTGTTTGGCTCACATAGTGTTAAATTTCTGTGTTTTAGTTGTCCATAATTAAAATTCAAGTGATTTTGCTCTATACCCTCGGTATCACCTAGCTGGTAGATATTCAGATACTTAACTTTAATGTTGCTGATTTTTATCCCCCAGGCTAAAGATCTAATAATCACACCAGCCACCATCTTGAAGGAAAAACCAGATCCCAATACTCTGGTTTTTGGAACTGTGTTTACGGATCACATGTTGACAGTGGAGTGGTCCTCTGAGTTTGGTTGGGAGAAACCTCACATCAAGCCTTTTCAAAACCTGTCACTGCATCCTGGATCATCGACTTTGCATTATGCAGTAGAAGTAAGTATATGGGAATTGATGATGGTGACGTGCTTATACTTCACTATGGAAGTCAAGTAGCTCCCCTGCTAAAATAGCTTTTGGGTATTTTAGGCTTTATCATATATACTAGAGGGAGTCATAAATGTCACTAAATTTTTTTCCCATAGACAATTGAATTGAGGATAAGTCCTAAGAAGATTTTTTTTTTCAGATAATCTTGAACTTTCTATGATGTCAATTAAAAAAAAAAAAAAACCACTTAGAACAAATAGAAAGGATAGTTGGTTGGAAAATTAGTGAACAAAAATCCCATACTCTTGATCTTTTATTAAATCACTTGTCTTTTCTGATGTTGGAATGATTGAGAAGGGGTTATTAAGTACATTATTATAATTAGATTTTAGTGCTAATTGCATGCTTTTATGACTAGCAGCAACATATAGTTATGTACATTAAGGGACATGTAATTAAATGTTCTCCTTTAAGCATGAGTTGATGAGTTGGAGTAATCATAGGCATAAGAGTTTAATGAATTTTTTCACTAGTCCTCCTGAGGAGACACAGTTAACTAGATACTTGCAATTCTGTTGACTCTACATTTCATTTTATTCCCTTTTAATGTGTTGGACATCTTTCCCAAAATATTGAGGGTGCTGAAAATAGATAATGGTCTACCTATTAAGGGAGTAAAAGATAATAATAGTGAAATACTAATAGCTGTAATGATAACTATTTTGTGCATTGAGTTCCTTCATTGTGTCCTGTATTATGTACCTTATATCCATCATTCATCTCCTCTAATTATCTTAAGCAGCATATGGTTAAACATTCAGGTTCTGGAGTCAGACTTTCTGGGCCCAAAATCTGCTTTAGTTGCGTCCTTGGGAGTTCTTTAACTTGGGAAATTTAATCATTTGTGCCTTTCATATTTTTATCTATAAAATTAAGATAGTGTTGATATCTACCTCACAGTGTTCTTCTAAGTATAAAACAAGATAATTAATTCATGCATGTAACACCATGCCTGGTGCACCCTGAGCGCCCAGCTGTTAGCTATGGTAACCCCTGATGCAGGAGCATCATCTACCATAGAAGCTGACTGAGGAGAAGTTGTTTCTCGCCCACTATTATGTAGTGAAGATGGAGCCAGGATTCAATCCTATTACTCTTGGAGCTTACTCATGATCCTAAGTGTATGCACTAAAAAGACTAGGAGGTTTATTTTCATTAACTTGTTCAGAATTAGAAAATCAAATAATTTTGGGAACATATTCACTATCCATATATATCCACAAAATGTAAAATTTAGGATTCTTAAGTTCCATTCCCAGCTCTCTCTTTTAGCTGTATCAACTTCGTGAGTTTTTCTGTAATTCATGCCAAGCCCTTGCCATGTCAGAGCATGTAATGAAGAACAACTGAAATTGCTTTTAATAGAAAAGAAGGTATTTGGTAGTATGGTCAAACTAGAACACTGCTCCTCAAACTTGGCACGGTCCCACCTCCAAGTTTCCGATTGCTAACAAGTGTTGAGGTCACCTTAATTCTATTGCTTTAGGAACCCCATTTTTGAGACTGGCCTACAGGAAGTAAATTAGAAGGGATTATACAATTTTGGAAAGATTTTGGTGGTCATTGGTTTTTGAAAGCTCTTTGGAAATCTACTTAGATGAGTTGAAATGCTAGCTTGATTAATTTTTCCAATTTAGAGTCCTGTGAGCTGATAGTTAAAAAAAAAAAAAATCTCAAGGCTAGGGCTGTAGCTCAGTGATAAGAGTGCTTACCTAACCTGTGTGAGGCACTGGATTTCATCTCTAGTGTTGCAAACAAAATAAAACAGGGACTCAAAATACTGTTATCCTTTCTTGTAAAAACCAAAGTCTTTGGATTATTAAGGTTCTACTTATAAAAAAAATTAAAAAGGTTTTCTTTAAGAGCTGGATTGTGTAATGTATAGTTATCGACTTTGCATAACAAAATGAATGACTTATTAATTATCTTCCATGTTTCTGGGGGTTGTGTAGTATGATTAAGTAGTTTATTTTAGGGGTCTCTTACGTGGTTGCTGTCAGTGGCTGGGTTGGTGTCAGCTCAAAGGCTTCTTAAGTCACATGACCTGGCACCCACGTGGGGACTGAAAAGCTGGGGCACTTTCAGTACCACTCTTTCTCTATGTCATTTCTTGCTTGGTGGCTTCAGGGTAGTCAGGCATCTTAGATGGTGGCCTCAGAGTCCAAAGCTGTGTGTATTAAGACTGAGGATAGTTGAGAGCTCCACTGTTTTCTACATTCTAGCCTCAAAAGCACATAGCATTATTTCTGCAGTATTCTATTAGTCAGGATAGTCACAGAGGATTGCTGGAGTTCAAAAGGAGGGAACAAATGCCCCACCTCTTGATGAGGAATATCAAAGATCTGAAAGAGCATATGGAAATATTGTTTGGCCATTTTTGGAACATACAGACTGTGATATGTAGAGTGAGTGCCGCAGTCTGGCTGGGCACAAATCACCTAGCTGCCACAAAGCACTTGTCAAACAGGAAGCTTTATTGCCCGAACTCCACCAGCACTCCAGGCACACTCCCCAGGAACTCTCCCCTCTTTCCACCTGGCTCCACTCTCTCTCTCTCTCTCTCTGAACACGCCCCCCCCCACCCCCCCCAGAACTCAACTGGGAACTCCAAAGTGGCAAGTGGCGGGCGCTGGAGGCAGCAGGAACCACCCTATTCCTGGCCCTATTCTCCCCCTCCCCCAGCCACCCTATTGCCAGACAGCAGGGGTCCATATACAACTCAATACACAGCCTGTCCCAATCCAGCATCATCCAGTCACAGTAATTATAACTTAATTATCATCATCTTAATGGCTCCCTGGCATCACCTCTTAACCACTCCTTCTGGAGCCATCCAGACTTGGCTGTGGCTCTCAGCAAGTGAGGAATGGGGGAGACATTGATATGCATTTGGCTTTCCCTTTGAGTGACAGATCAGACTGTTAAGGTGTCACAGATTAGATATTATGTCAGTGTCATAGGAATTCAGGAAGCATAAAAAGTATAGGGTCCCTGGATTTTCTTACCAGGAACATTCATTTCATCCCCTGTTCACTTGTTCAATGAATGTTGAGTGTCTACCAAGTGCCCAGGACTTGTGATTTCTGTTAATATATGAAAGTATTTTTAAGTAGATAAACATGTGATGACTTCAAATAGTGGAAAGAGATGTGAATTGTGAGTAGGGAACATAAAAGGAAAAGAAAAGTTGATATCAGACACTACATTTCCAGGTTCAAATAAATATTTAGTGAAACAAAGCATAATTGTAAAAAAACAAAACAAAACAAAAACAAAAGGATAAGACATGTATGTACTATGTAGTATGTATTTAATGAATACTAAAAAATGAATGCTTATAATAGTTACCATGCAGGTAATGAAACAGAACACTTGAGATTATAGAAGCCCTCTATGTCCCATCCTGATTATAGACCTTGTCTCTTTCTTTTAGCATTACCCTTGCTTTTGTGCTAACCTTTCTTTGCTTTTTTGTATGGAGTGTGTGGATCTCTAATACTATAGTTTTGCTTCTTTTTGAATTTCTGTAAGTGGAATAACATTCTGGGTGCGTCTGCATGCGCCCTATTATTTGAGTTCAGTGTTATACGATCTATCCAATCAGAACCAGCTCTAACATTTGTGGGGCATGGGACATGAATATGCACAGGAAGCCCATGATCTGCCCTGTCCATGTCTTCCCATCCTGGCTCTATCCTATATTGAAGTGCCACAGCATGCATACATATCCTCACCACCCACCTGCAGTGACCTGTGGCCATTCCTAGGACTTAGGCATGGGCACACCAGTGGTGCCATCTGGTTTTGGAAAGATAAACCTGAGGAGCCTATTTAATTCCTAAAGATAGGATCAGGGCTATTTGGGCAGAGTTTCGGGGAACTCTTGGAGCCTGGAGTAGAAGGGAGGCTTGAGGTCCAGGTGAGCATGTCCTTTTGGCACTTCTGACCACTTGCTCCAAGTAGAAGGTCATAACTGGAGCATGGTAGGAGCCAGAGCTCTCTAAAGTGTGGGGCTCAGGGCAGAGGCCCTGGTTACCTGGATCTAAGGGTGGTAGGTACTGCATTCACACGTCTCAGTCTCAGCAGTAGTAGTTTTATGTTATGCGAAAATATGCAGCCTTGGCAATGGGCTTTGTTTCCTTCTGCAACATTATTGTGTGTGAAATGCTGGTACACTTGGGAGAGTTTCTCTAAGTTGCAGTTCTCAAAATATGGTCCAGACTCCCTAGGTTCCCCTGAAACCCTTTCAGAGATAACTAAGAATAAAACTCTTTTTGTAATAGTTAGGCATTACTTTTGTTTTTCATTGTATTAGCGTTTGCACTAAGGAAAGCTTCCTTGTCCAACACAAGGAAGTCTACCCTTGATGGTCTACCCATCACAATTATCAAAAGAATGCCAGTTTTACCGCAGAATGTTTTTGGGGAATGTGTGATAAATAGCAACTTTATGTAAAGTACTTCTGTATCCTAAAGTACTGTGTGTCTCAAGGAAAAGCGATTGTGTAATTCTCTTGAGCTTCTGAGTAAGTCTGGTTGCTTTTTTCATCTAACACCATTTTTCTTGAAAGAACAAAGTATGATTACTCAGATTTGGGCATTTGTCAGACGTTTTCTCGTAAATGAGTGAACGTGTCACTTTAAGCAAAGCAGTGGAAAGAATGTCTCAGCAATGATGAAATTCTTACTCAAATGAAAACTAGAAATTTGGAATTTTCTTTGAACTTGACCATTTTCATGGCTTTTAAAGAGCTTTCTGATGTTAGGGGTGATATAGGAAGTATGAAGAGATGTTAGTCTTTGGAAGATATGCATAGCTCAGTGAGCCAGTTTTCCCAAATGATCATTGCATGACATTTCAAATGTGTACATGGATAAAGATGTATTCCCAGGACCAGATAGCATAGGATGGCATGTCGATATGTCAGTATGATTAATCTGAACTTG